ACAATGCCACCCAGATCGGCTCACTGAAACCCAAACTCTCTCTTTTCTCCCCCAGCCAATAGTCAATGCACCTTGAAATATCTGGGTAAATGCGCGAGTTCTCCACTGCCTTCTGCACGCCTAGCTGAGGCTCAGAGGCAGGTGGCTTCAGGAGGGAAGTCGCAGGAGAAGGCGAGTGATGCTGACTTCAGCCTGACAGCTGCTGATCTTTGCTTTAGTTGATTTCCCCCTTTGCAAATGGTTCATTGGCAATGGAAACTGCAAATCTACTATCTGCTCCCCTATGTAAATTGCATTTACATTTAAATTGTGCATTCTTCCAAAGGATGGGGTTAGTAAATAACTGGCAGATTGAACTTGAGGAGAGGAAATTGTGCCCCACATCAAACCTGAGACTGAAGTGACATCTGGCTTTTACTATTTCCGTCATTTCAGTTGAATAACAGCATGTGGCATTAAGGGAAAAGAAATTGGATCTACATTTTAATGAAAGGAGGAAGCTCTCAGGGTTTAGATACCTTATCATGTTGAATACCTAGTCGATTGGCAATTAAAACTTCCCTCAAGAACTGGAATAAAATATCTTTGCAGCTAGCCATGGAGGAAATAAAAAACAAAAAACAAGCTAATGCCCAAGACTTCACAGATAAAACCAAGGGAAATGGGTGCTGTAAACATCAAAACCAGATATTTCAGGATTCAGCAGAGTACAGGAATTCTTAAACAGAATAATGCTGAGAGTCGAGTCATGGATAGGCTGGTGGGATTTTCAAGAGACTAACCTTAGACAGAATAGTTTGCCCATAATAGGGGGCTCAACCCAATCAGAGTATCTCATTGACTCCTTTGTCAACCTCGTTTTAATCTCCAGCGGTCTAACAAAGAAATATTTTAGAAATGCCTGTTTCATCCCAACAGTTTAACTGCTTAAATGGAAGCGGTTCCACCTGCTGTCTGCTTTTTTGTGTAAAGCAATTGTGGGAAATGTAAACAAAATGCTTGTGCATCCTAATAACCCAAGCCTATCATTTATCTGCTTTGATTGAAACAAATGTGTCAATTTTAAAAGTCTTTGTCTGATGTAGCCAATGTTTGGATGTTGACAAATGTGTGTATTACATGTTTGTTTGGAAACTGAGCCATCATTCTTGGAACTGTTGGCAAGGAAACAGCACCAGGTGTTAGACCAGTGGAGTCAGACTGGACCTCAGCTCAGCAACCTCGGTTCTTAAATTCTGGCTAAGAAAGAATTCTGAGTCAAGACTCAAATGATAAGACAAGGTTCATTTAGAAAGCCACAGAGGTAGAAGTGCGTTCTAGAAGAAATGGGCTCAGGACATAAGTTACAGAGGCAAAAGAAAGGACCCTTAGAGCTTAGGAGAGAGAAAGGTAAAGGTAATACACCTGGGGGACGAAGAGGAGGAGGACCAAAAAGGTGAGGGTGTGCTACTAAGAGGGAGAGCGCACTGGATCCTTCGTCCTGAGAGTATTTATCTGCAGGTCTCAGGGGAGGATCCCAGTAGAATATTCGTAGGTTTCCAGGTGGGTCCTTTCAGGGACATGGTCTCCACTGATTTTGCCCTGCCAGGTCAGGGGGTCATTCATCAGTGCAGCTGGTCCTGATGTCAGCCATGGCATCTCTTGTCTGGTTTTGCTGTTTTGCTGGGCCTGGAGGTGAAATGCAAGTGAGACCTAGATGTTATCCCTACAGGTTAATGCTTAAGGGAGAGTGGTTGTGCAAGGGCCCGAGTGGGAGTTGCTTGAGGCCACTCTTTGGCTCCTTGTTCCTCCTCCAAGGGGGTCTACTGCATAACTCGACCAGTAATTCGAATAATGCATGACTAGTGACCAGACAGAGGAGGAAGGGTCAGGTGAAGGTCCAAATTGTGTGATCAACGATATGACAGTCCAGGGAATCTAAACTACATGACCAGTGATATGCTAGGGGAGGAAGTGTTGCCCTGGGGCGAGGTCCTTGTTTCCCCTCATTGCTAGGCACCGGGGCCTTCCACCCTGGAGAACTTCCATACGTGGCTCTTCGTCCTTGCTCTGATTACGTCTGCCTAACTTTCTACTACAGAACCACAGCTTGGAGCACTTAATGAGCCTCCCTGACCATGCACCCAAAGGTGCTCAGTCCTTTCCCAGCATCAGGAAAGTGTTGAGATGATAGGGCCCCATGGGCAAGTGTAAATAGAATGAGGAAGAACCTGGATGTGGAGACTCTGAGGCTAGGACACATGAATAATTCGAATAATGCACAGCATTCATATAGAACTGACTGTGTGTTATAACTCATGAAATGCTCATAACAGCCCTGAGAGGTAGGTACCATTGTCATCCCCATTATAGATGAAGAAAAGGAGACAGAGTGAGTTTAGTAACTTCCCCACCTGACATCACCCAGCTGGAAAGAGACAGGCTGGGATTTGACTTCAGTCAGGCTGGCTCCACTGTTCCCTTAACCCCTTTCAGGTGACTCCTTCCTAGCCCTGGTATTTAATTAAGGCTTGTGTTTTCCCAAAGTTACATTTTGTCTTGCATAATTGTTTCAGCATAATTTGTCTTGCATGATTGTCTCAGCAAACTCAAGCTAATAGTCTAAGGGATCTTTTCTTAAACAAAATAAAGCAACAGCAACAAAACCTGGCTTTCTGCAACATAGATGATATCCTGGAGTTCTCACAGGAGTGTGCTGAGGATAAAATGAGATATGAGTGTGCTTTGAAAAGGCAGAAACCATAAAAACCCTGCAATGTATTATTTATCCGTACTCTATCCTGAATCTTTTTTAAAGGAGCAATCCCTTAACAAGTTAACATAGATTTCTTTCATTTTCTCATTTTCCCTAGAGGATATGGCCAAACTACCCATCTACAACTGTGGTTCTTATTATGAGGGCCTAGATGCTTGATGTTTGATTTCTCCTTCATCTTCCCGGTTTCTTGGCACCTTTTGGTTGGGTAGCAGCTCCTTCTCTGCATCCCTTGACATGTTATCATGACAGTCAGCTTATGAAGTCAACCAGTGCCTCCTCTGTTTGAACTTAGGTTAAATTAATTATCAGACTTTCACATCAATCTGTTGCTATGGGGGTTACTGATGTCACACTGTCAGTATTATGATTATCGTAATATCTAACAGGCAAAAGGGGAGTGGTTGCTAGTGGGAACCCTTGGGTGAAACTCACCCAGCTTTAGTAACCATCCCAACTGCACAGACTTTAGACAACCATGTAAAGGGGTGAGTGGATTAATCATCTAGTTGGATCCTATTTGAATATTTTTCTTCCATATGTGTGTTCCCTCTAGGCAATTGTCTAGTGTCACTTGAAATTGATGAGGGCTCTTTTGGAGGTTATTTTTGGGGAGGTGGTAAAACAACAGACAGCTGTTCTCTGGGGGAAATGTCACAGATCTGCCTAAGCAGATTCTAGTGAAAAAAGGAATGGCCTTGTCCTTTTCCTTCCTAATATTAGGCGGTTTACTAGTGACCGAAAAGTGTTAATTCAGCTTCTCAAACGTAGAAAAGAGGACACATTTACTGAGCGCCTGTTGTGCATCAAAATGTGACCCTGGTCAAAGTATAATTTTAAAAGTGGAGACCTATTAAGCTAGGAGTTCTCAAACAACCTTGGTATACATGACAATTCACATCTTTTTTCTAGCTTGTGTACAATGTTCTTCCTAAGTGGACATTGACTGATCACCAATAAAAGCAAAGTCATTACTTAGAATTGGTCCAGATCCTCCAATGCTGAGTAATTGTCTTGAAGTCGTTTTCACTGTGATATTAAAAAGCCCAGAAACATGATAGAAATGAGGTACAAGAAATAAACCCCTAAATTAAAAATCTCCGTTAAAAGGTTTGACAAATGGGTCTGTCTTTTTTAGGATTTTGTTAAGTAGGTGGAGGGGTCAGTTTGGGGGGATAGAGAAACCAACTGAATGACACTGGCCGAATGTGAGGCTGTGGTTTGGAAAGCCGTATGGAGACTTGCGTAAATCTATATAAATCAATTTGTGTGCCAGAGAGTGAACAGCTGACTTTTTTCAAATGCCAATTCAGCAATTACAGAGTCTGCTGGCGGTTAATTAAAAACTACCATCTTGTTATATTCAGAGTTAAATTACAAGTGTGAGAACTACTACTGTTTGCAGTCTCTGAATGCTCTGTACTCTCATCAAAAGGAGGGCAGGGATAAATAACTTTTATTTAACTCACTAAAAAATCTCTCTCAGCTCTTTCATATTTAATTAACTTCTTATCTGCTCAGAGCTTACTCAGATTTCCTAAGCAGTGATAGAAATATGTGTTTCTTCGTTCATTTTGGGCAGATTTTTCTCACATTAGCTGAATAGAAAAGTTAGAAACAATTGAACCCCAACATGGGGGAAAGCGACGCCCATCCAAAGCTCTACTTCAAAGCAACTAAACCTGGAAGGGATTTCGGGCAGAAACAGCAAAAAATGGTGATTAAAAAGAAAAACAAAAAACCTTTTTCTCATTGTTTATTGCAGGAAGTTTTCTGGGAGAATTTTTTATTATTTCTTTTTGTGAATCCTCACCTTAGGATATTTTTTCTATTGATTTTTTTTTTTAAAGAGAGTAGAAGGGAAAGGGAGTAGAAAAGAGAGAGTGAGAGAGAGAGAGAGAAATATTGATGTGAGGGAGACACAGTGATTGCTTTCCTCTGACACATGCCCTGAGCAGGGCCAGGATCTAACCTGCAACCCAGGCACCTGTCTTTGACTGGGAATTGAACCTGAGATCCTTTGGTGCGCTGGCCAACATTCCAACCACTGAGCCACACCGGCCAGGGTGAGGGTGGTGTTTTTTGGCTTTATTGCCTTTGCACCTCCAAGACTGGCAGCTCAGTCTGTACACACTTCAGTGAACGGGTGACGTTTTAGTTCTTCTTTATAAGGCTGTCTTAGTGAATTTAACGTTTTACTATTTCAGAGATTTTATATCAGAAAAGAGACCAAACTTCTATCATCATGGTGGACGTGAAATGTCTGAGTGACTATGAATTACAAAGGGAACTTGATAAGCTTGGATTTTCACCTGGCCCAATACTATGTATGTATGTAGCACATGGTAGAGACTAGTCACTTATCACTTATAAACTACCCCCAAAGATTTAAAATAATTTATAGTGAAAGAAAAATATGTGCCCTGGCCAGTTTGCTCAGCGGTTAGAGCGTTGGCCTGTGGTCCAGAGAGACCCGGTTCGGTTCCCGCTAAGGGCACGTACTTCGGTTGCAGTTTGTCCCCGGCCCTGGTTGGGTCATGCGGGTGGCAACCACTCGATGTGTCCCTTTCCCATCGATGTTTCTCTCTCTCTCTCTCTTCCTCTCTCTCTCTTCCTCTCTCTCTCTCTCTTTCTCTCTCTCTCCTGCTCTGTCTGAATAAAAAATAGAAAAATGTCCCCAGGTGAGGATAAAAAAAAAAAAAAAAAAACTGTTTAAAAAAATAAATAAATAAAATGTTCTAAATATACTTATTAAAAAAAAGAAATATATGCAATGAGAATCATCAGAAATAGAAATAGGAAAATTTTTTAAAAATCAGAAAAACCGTAAAGAAGGGCAAAGGTGATCAATATACTCAGATCCTTCTTACAGATTAGTAAGTATGGGGCCAGGCAGAAAAAAAAATTTTTTTAACCCCACAGTGAAAAACCAGTTACTCTTGGTTATATCACCCTGGGTTCTTTTTCACCTCTAATATGTTCACTGTGATAACTACGTATGTAGTTATTGTCCATATTCCCCATAGATAGACTTACTACTTTGTCAGGCTTGTTCTCAGAGGTACCCGATGCCTGATTCCGTGGCTGACTCACAGAGGCCTCACCTTGTGTGTCTGTGGAAGGGACAGAGTGAGTTGAGTGGCTCTGGTGTCCACTTCATTGTAAAAAGCACAATTAATAATGTAAGCAAAAGAATAAGGATCTGAGTTGTGAAATACCCTGAGCCCATTAAGACCCCATACACAGACAGAACTTAATTTATTCTCCACCTTCTTCCTCAGCTTCCACCAGAAAACTGTATGAAAACAAATTAATACAATTGTTGGTCTCATCTCCCTGTGCATCACCTGTGATGAATGGACCCAGAAAGCAGGACGAAGCTCAGGACAATGATGACAGTAAAGGTACCATCAGAGGCTGTACTGCTTGATAGCAACTTTGCACTTATTAACACCTTGTCCAGCATGACGTATGCAGCTTTATTTTATTTTATTTTTTTTTTGATATTTTGCTCAGATAGAGTGGGAGAGAGAGAGAGAGAGAGAGAGAGAAACATCGACATGAAAGGGACACATCGAGTAGTTGCCACCCGCACAACCCAACCAGGACTGGGGACAAACTGCAACCGAGGTACATGCCCTTAACGGGAACCGAACCCGGGTCTCTCGGGACCGCAGGCCAACGCTCCAACTGCTGAGCCAAACCGGCCAGGGCTATGCAGCTTTAAATAGCATGAAGGGAATAGCCACATGGGCTTTCTTGCTGCAAAAGGCCCCTGGCTGCAAAAGGAATGCTTAACTCCATCTCTACATTCACGCCAGTGACTCAGTTGGGTGGCAAATCTGTTCGATTTCTTTTTTTTTCCTATCCTCACCAGAGGACATTTTTCCACTTTTTGTTCAGATAGAGTGGGAGGGGGAGAGAGAGAGAGATAAACATTGACATGAAAGGGACACATGGAGTGGTTGCCACCCACACGGCCCTGGTTGGGTCAGGGACAAACTGCAACCAAGGTACGTGCCCTTAGCGGGAACCAAACCCGGGTCTCTCTGGACCACAGGCCGACCCTCTAACCGCTGAGCCAAATCGGCCAGGGCTGATTTCTAAAGCCAGAAGTACCTACAGATAATTCCCAGGTCTCCCTTGAGGTCTCAGCCTCTGCTTTGCCTCAATCAATAAATTTGACAATTATTTTTGGATTAAATGATTTCACATCCATTAAGAAAGATGAACCAGACTGTACCTCCCTCGGCCTACTGCCCTACTGACTTAATGGGAGCTGACCACAGCTGGTCTCTTCCAGGTCCCAGGGGTGGGGAGTGGTGGTCTCTGGGATCCAAGAGCTTCCCTTGCAGTGGCTCCTGCCCAGGTGCACTGTTCTCCTGCAGGGGTAGCTAGTTCAGGCTCTTAGAGGATAGACTTAAAGAGTCCCACAATACATTCCACGGCTCTTTCAATACTTATGAGTTCTCTATGAGCTACAGTGAAATAATAGGAAGCACCATTTATTAAAAACCACCAATGCATTTCTAGCCTAACTTGCATGATCTCATTTAACCCTCACAGCACTTAGCTGAAGTTCAGAGAGGCCAAGTGATAGGCCCAACACCACAGAGCTAGGAAGTGGCCCCAGAAGATAAGCGTCCACTAGAATGTGCCATGAAGAGCAAGGCCCATCTGTCTAAGTGTCCAGCAGCCAGGACAGGGTCTGGCCCATAGCAGGAATTCAGCAGCCAGGATAGGGTCTGGCTCATAGCAGGAATTCAGTTTGTTTGTTGAATGAAAGTGATATAGAACCAAGATTTGAACACAGATCTGGTTCTCATCATTGTGCTCTTTCCACCAGATACCCTATAATTTTCTTATAATTTCTATTGTGAGGATAAACACATTACATTTTTTACCATGTTTGATTTACAAAAAATACAAAAACAAAACAAGGCAATTTCATATGTTCAAATTAATAGTTCAACAGACCATATAAGTGCCTGGGGCCCTCTGAAAAGTCCCCTGCAATGATATTAAAGGGAGCAAAGGTGCTGAGAGCTTTCCCCAAGAGTCCGGAATGGTTAGCCTCATTTAGAGAGGGCAGCACGGTGTGGGGATGGATCCCACTGTCCCTGAGCAGGACAGTGAGCATGGGGGTGCCTCAGGGCCAGCGGCCACCCCAGGCCCTTTCTGGAGGTGGGATGTGCTCACAGTCCTGTCCCAGACCTGGGGCTGCCTCGTTTCCTGCCCTGGAAAGGAGCTGAAGGGACTAGAGCAGCCCTCTGATGAAGTGCAGGGCCAGGCTCGAAGATTCCAGAGGGGATGGCTTGTGCACTCACTGCTCATGACTGCTGAGGCTGCAGGTCAGAGCTGCGAAGTCGAGCTATGCTGGTCTCAGTCTAAGCCGCCCTGGTTTCCAGCACACAGCCCTCCGCATAGCCCCCGCCAAGGAGCACTTATGCTGGGGCTAGAAGAAAACTGGTCCTTTACACTGTCCACCTGCTGCTAACCAACCATGGGCAATCAAGCCAGGGGTTCTGGTTCAGTCCTACCCTTGTAATGCAGCTCTGTGACGTCACTGGCCAGTGGGGGTATAAGTAGGCAATCTGCTTCTCCAGGTCAGGTCTGAATTGGACATTTGGGTTTGCTCATTGGACAAGTGTCGTAGACCTTGGTGCCATTAGAATGGAAGGGTTGACATGGAACTAATGGGGTCCTGTAGAGGTTCAGCCTTGAACATTTTTTTTTTCCTTAATCGATTTGAGAGAGAGAGGAATGGAGAGGAGGAGAGAGAGAGAAACACTGATGGGAGAGAACATCAGTTGGCTGCCTCCTGCATGCCCCCCACAGGATCGGGCCCACAACTTGGGCATGTGTCCTGACCAGGAATCGAACCGGCGATCTCTTGGTGCATGGGTGCATGGGTTGATGCTCAACCACTGAGCCACACCAGCTGGACCAGCCTTGAACATTTCACAGAGATACTTAGTCCTGGGGTGGGGTTGTTGTGGGAGGGTTTGGGGGGCGGGGCAGTTCCACACCTGAGGCTGGGCATTAGGCCATGCAAACAATGGATGGATTCGATTTTTCTCATTTTTACTCATTGTTTTGGCACTGGGTGGACATAGCTTTCGTGATCTACCCTTTTTTCAACCTTCCTAAATATTTTTGACTTGAGGAGCTCATTTAAAATCCCCCTCATTAAAAGCTCACTGATATTCAAGGGCACACGATTGCTCCGAGTTTGAGTTTATCAAAATGCCTTCACAGCCTGAAGGCGAAGGCTGATCAACAGCAACACTTTCTGCCCTTCGGTTCCCCTGATTTTAAAGGCTTTTAGCACAGGTCTGGCCTTCCCTCTCCTGGGTGTCTCTTTGGATACAGAAGAAGAAATTCTCCTGCCCTATCTTGACATTCAGAGAGACGAAAAGCTTACAGCTGGCTTGAAGGGGCAGTGAGGAGACTGCCAACAGCTGCTCGGATGAGCAGCCAGCCCCGGCTCAGCACGGATGGCTCTCGGAGGCACACAGACATGACCGCTTCCCTGTTAGGAGCCCTCCCCATGTTCCCAGGGGAAGGCCTAGGTGTGTTTTACAAAGGCCACTGCCGAAATGCTCTTCCCTCAGAAGGGCAAAGTGAATTGTCTTCTCCTCCCCAAAATCTTCTGCCCTGTGATTAATAGGATGCACCCTGATGCTTGGTGCTTATTTTCATGGCTGGCTTGTATGTTCTCATGGCCTATTTTCCTTTTGTTTCCCATCATCCAGAGCTTAATGCCATTATTGTTTTGAAAGGAAATATCATACTCTCATCAGAAAAAAAGAAGGAACCCAAAAACGTATGTACAATTCTAACGCATGAATACTTTTACACGTATTAAATATAAGAAATAGCACTTTTCATATGTATGAAGTAAGGAAATAGCAAGTCACTACATTCCATTATCCAAATTCTAGTTTAAAGAAACTCTGCCCGACTGGTGTGGCTCAGGGGACTGAGTGTCATCCTGTGGACTGAGAGGTCGCGGTTCGATTCCCGGTCAGGGCACATGCCAGGGTTGTGGGCTTGATCCCCAGTAGGGGGTGTGCAGGAGGCAGCCGGTTGACGTTTCTCTCTGACATCGATGTTTCTATCTCCCTTCCTCTTTCTCTAAAAAAGCAATTAAAACATATTTTTTAAAAAAAGAAGCAGCTCGTTCGCTTTAATGCAGTTTTCTGTTCTGTGAAACAACCACCACACTCTAGCACAGGACACAGAGTAACAGCCCCTGCCTGAAATAGCAGCCACCCTGTGTTCCTCTCCAGCTGTCATGCCCTCGCCCCCCTTTCACCAGCTGTGGCCAACACTCACACACAGCAGTGAGCACCGTTCTAGACCCGCAGGGAGCACGGAATGAATGTGGGTTCCTGTCCCCTTCTCTGTCCCAGACACTGAGTTCTGGCTTTTACGCTCACCACCCTATTGGAGCACTTGGCCAAATGTGTGAGACCAACAGGTTTTGGGGTGAGGCCCAGCTGGTTTGGAGTCCCCGCCCTTCTACTTGCCAATTGTGTGACTCTGGGGAAGTCAACAGACCTGAACCCCCTGTCACAGTTTAACTAGCAGAACCTCCCTCGGAGGTGAGTGTGACGGGGAAGGCGGGTGCAGCTGTTAGCACGGAGCACAGCACATCACTCGTTCATAAGTAAACGCCAAGGTATCGATGCTAGTGACTTGCTTGGTCCCTCTTTATTTAGAGACACCTGCCTCCTTAGATTTTGGCAACTCTGCTCTCTGTAGGTTCTGGGCTCTGCCCCCTGACTGTGTCCATCCCGACTCTGCCTTTGGGGCTCAGAATGCACGTTGTGCCTGAGATCTCTGTCTTCAGCCCCCTTCTCCTCCTGCTCTGCGTCATTTCCCTTGGTCATCTCAGCCACTTGCCACGTCTGTGTCGTGACCCCGCATATAACCCTCCACATTGGACCTCTCTCCTGAGCCACAGGCCTTCCTTTCCCAAGAAGCTCCTCCCCTCCCTCCTGACATCGTTGTTTCTCTCTCTCTCTCCCTTCCTCTCTCTCTAAAACAGCAATAAAAACATATTATTTTTAAAAAGAAGAAGCTCGTTTATTTAAATGCAGGTTTCCAACAAATGATTATTTACTTATTTTAATCCTCGCCAATGACATGTTTTGATTGATTTTAGAGAGAAAGGAAAGAAGATACGGAGAGAGAGAGAGAAACGTCAATGGGTTGCCTCCCTTCTGTGCCTTGACAGAGGATCGAACCTGCAACCAGGGCATCTGCCCTGACCGGGACTCCAACCTGTGACCCTTGGTGCACGGCATGACGCTCCAACCAACTGAGCCACACCGGCCAGGGCAGTAAATGGTTATTCATAATTATGAACATTAAATAGGTTATATAGATGTATTTCTCCTGTGGTTATCCCCAGCATCTCCCTCCAGGACCACCTGCATTTCTGGCCTCTGTTTATCTTGATGGTTCCAGCACCTTCCCACTCTCTGGACTCAAAAATCACATTGTTACCTTGGGATGCCCACTCCCCGTAGCTCCTCACATATAAACAGTTGCCAAGTTCTTTGGATTTGAATGATAATTTTCAAAAATCTATCCCTCCTTTCTCTTCCCATTGCTGCTCTCCTAGTTTGCACCCATATTACTTTTTTTTGAACGATGGCAGTACCCTCCTAACTGGTCTCTGCCTCCAGCCTTTACCTATTCCAGGTCAAGCAGAGATTTAATCATGTCATTCATTTGCCTGGAAACTTTCAAAACAAGACACAAATTTACTATACACCATGAAGAGACACCAGTAGCTCCTATAAATGAATCTCCCTCACCATCCGACCCTATGCATACTTAGTTTCTCCACCTCTCACACCTCTGCCCATGTAGCTTTGCCTCAACTGTTCTTTATGCCTAGATTTCTTTTTATTCTTCTACCCCATCCCATGTTTCTTCCTGTTAAAATTCTGGGATCACTGAGCAGTGTCTCAAAAGCCACTCCTCTGCATCCCTTTAAAGTTACATTTTATCTCGTTCAGTAGCGGTCAAAGGGTTTTGTACATAGTAGGGGCCTAAAGATCACTTTATCAAGTCTGCCAAACAGCTCTAGTGACACATAAGTTAGTTTGCAAATATGGTCTAGTATTTAAAATCCTTGTTGAGTGTAAATAAATGAAAGAAATCCTAGGTAAACATTCTTGCAGTAAGTTGTTACTTGAGCTTTCCACCTGAGCATAATTCAAACTTGATGAAGTGATTCTGATACCAAATTTTCTAAAATGATTTTTAAAATCTTTCAAATGGCACCTTGTTTCTGCAGAAAACCCTTTTGTATAGTTCCTGCAGAGACATTTACAGGAGAAAAAGCAACCTGAGTATTTGAAGTGCATCAGGTGGGGCCAATGCCCTTCAGGCTTGGCTTTGCGTAAACCTGAAATAAAACCATGTCAATATTTTGAATTGGCAATATAATTAAATGGAAAGTTTGTGACGGCACAAAATGTTTTGATCTGAAGAATTATATAAGCCATTTTGATTCTCCGAAGAGCCTCAAGACATCTGTTCAATTTCAAATCCGAAAGTAAATGTAAATAAGCATTTAAATTTCCACATAAAAGGTAGTTGAAAGTGTGTTTATTGAGACACTTGTCTAGCACCATAGACTTTAATTACTTAAGAGCAGTGGTCCATGCCTAACAGTCCTCTAAGTACCTGGAAAGGTAGTATTCACGTTTCTTTGAAACAGCAACGAACACATGTTAGTAGGTTTCTAGTGGAATACAAACCACCTTGAGATTTGGATTATGTCCATTTCTGGACACTTTTTAACACTGTACACATGTGCTTATTTTTTATTTTTGAAAGATTTTTTAAATTTACTTTTAGAGAGAGGGGAGGAAGGGAGAGAGAGAGAGAGAGAAACATCGATGTGAGAGAGAAACATCAATTGGCTGCCTCCTGCATGTTCCCTGTGGGGGATCAAGCCTGCAACCTGGGCACGTGCCCTGACCAGGAATGGAACTGGCAAACTTTTGATGCACAGTATGATGCCCAACCAACTTACCCACACTGGCCAGGGCTATAGGTATATTTTATTAAATTACATAGGCAACCCACTTGATTTGGTGATTAGGACCACTTAGAAAACCAGGTCATTAATTTTTTAACTGGGGGTTTTCTCATCAAATAGACTCGAGACACAGCTTAAGCTTCCACTGATGGAGCAGGGAGTGAAGCCAATGTGCTCAAGCCAGGCTCTAGAAAGCCTCGTAAGAGGAGAGACAGGGTTCAAGGATGGCAGGGAGGCAGAATGATCTACAGTGTCAGGCTGCATAAAGTGGGGTGTGATAGGATGACCATGTAATTTATCATTACAAACAGGATGCTTTTAAAAATGAAAGGGGACACTCACTAGAAAGAGTGCTGAAATAACAGGGGTAAAGCAGGACCGTCCTGGCAAACCAGGGCATCTGTTCATCTGGGTCTGGGAGTGGTTCCAAAGGCTGAGCCCTTGCACGGGCATACTGTCCACAGAAGGCTGCTGCATCCAACATCCAGAGGGTGGCTGGCCTCCTGAGCACCCCGGCCCCCTCTGGGTGTCTCCTTCCTCTTCCCCAGACACGACATGCTCTTTCTTGCCAGAATCAATGTTCATTCTGTTCTCCCAGCCTGTAATACTCTCTCCTCTTCTGGTTACCTAGCCTACATATTCTCCAAGGATTTCCTCAAAATGTGTTCTGTAGGTTTGGCCTTAGGAATCTGCTTTTTCCATAGCCCCTGTACCCACCCTCTGTCCAACAGCTTTTGCTCTAGGTTGTACATATGGGTGGTAATCCTATGTCTTGGAACCCTCTCCATTTAATTCAAAGGCACGCATATAGGGGGCAAGCTTCTGGATGAACTGAAAGGAACTTTTGTCCTACATTGATTTCGCTGATTTTTCTTTTTCTGATTTCCTCTTCTGTACCATCTTTTGTCTCTTGGGCATACCTTCATGTATTCTCTCTCTTTTTTTAAAAATTTTATTTCATGTATTCTCTTGAGAGACCATGCTTAGGTCATAGTGAATTGATGACCACCCAAGGAAGGGTTGCAACAGAGCTTCACCCCTGGGTTTCACTGAGCCTGCGAGTTAGCAACTATTTATCAAACACAGGGCATTGTGCTAGACCTTCTTGTCCCTGTCCTGAAGAAACTTAAAAATGAGCTCTGGAAACACAGAATATGTGTGGCAGAAATATGGACTCTAGAGCCAGATTGCTTGGGTTCAAATCCCAGCTCTGCCACTGACCTAGACAAGACACTTGACCTCTCTGTCTCTTAGCTCCTCGTCTATAAATAAAGGTAATAACAGTCTCAGCTTCATAAAGTGTTGTGAGGATTAAGTTTAAGTATGTAAAACAGAGTAGTGATGGCACACAGTAAGAGCTAAGTACAAATAAGAACTATTACTATCATTAATATTACTATTCTATAAAAGGCATATTTAATTACCTATAATACAAAGCAACATGCTTAAATGAAAAATAATATAATAGAACCTGAATTTTTAGTACTGAACTCTTAAGTGCTACAGAATGTGATTCATCAGAGTACCTACAGATAATACTTATATAATTACACAGGTGCAATGAAAGGTTGTTCTCTGGAAGTGCTGTATGTTTAATGAAGCAGACCAAGCTTTAAAAAAAAGTCATATGTGCCCTCTCAGTATATGGGAATCCTCTTTCTTAATCTGATACTTAAATCCTTCACTCCCCTGCCTCTTTAAACATTTAAAAAAATAATTTCACACTTAGAAAAAGTTGCAAGAAATAATACAAAGAATTCCCA